GCAAACGAACAAGACAGCAGATAAGACATCTATCAAAGAGGGGGGGGGGGAGGAGTCAGTTGAACAACCTTGTGCGTGCTTTCCCACCGCTACCTTACCTCTTTCTGATGGGAAACTCACACAAGGTTGTTCGCTGCAGTCCACACTACCTTTACGTACGATAAGCTCAGACATTCAAAACTGATGGGCCTGCCTTTAATGTTATTTCACGCCACCGCAGGACAATCCTGTCTTTAATTTTCAACAGGCCTTTAATTTAGGATAACCTCTACACTCCGTTGGATTTGGCAAGACGGAAGAATCACCAGGCGAGTATCACTGAATTATTTTTCCTGCCACAGGGAATGCTTTAGAGAATAATTCGAAATCCGGGATAACCGATGTTAGAGTTAAGAAATGCGCGAGCAACTGTTTTTATTCAGACAGTGGTAGATTACCTCACTAAGAAACACGAGGCCAAAACAGCAGCAGAAATACCTGATGCAGAGCGAGAAAAGAATCGAATCTTCTTCGAAGAGCAGGTAGTGCGAGGTGAGTTCCAGTCCCAGACATTCTTCTGTCCAACCCCAACAACGCGTGGCCAGGAACGTGGCCTTGATTCGTATGTGCTGTCTGTGCTGAAAGTACCATCTTACAGCAAAACTCGCTCGTGGGCGGCATCGTTTGCATGGTGAAGATGATGAAAACGATGCGATGATGAGGAAGTCGAAAGCGAGACGGCGACGAAGTCTGGAGGATGTCGACTCTATCCGGGAAATGAAAAGCACTGGAGTGAATACAGTTTCCGTAAGTTCTAAGTTGAACAACATCTAAAGGATGTGTCGAAATATTAGGTCTCCTCGACGATTCCCAAGTCTTTTAAGGTTCGGCGAGCTTCTTCTGCCGAAGCTTTGACGAAAGCCTTTCCTAAGTCGACGTCGACCAGTGATCTTACTGGGCCTTTCGATGACGACGAAAGCATCGAAAGGTTCGTCCGAGAGGAGCTTCGAAAAATGGTCGAGGCTAGGGAAAAGGAAAAGGTTCTTTTTCTCATTCAGTTTATCTTTCTAGCTAGTAAAACCCTCGAGCATACTAGTTCTCACCCCCATGATACTCTCTGGTTTCGCTACTCTTGACCAGTTCTTTAAGACCAAAAGGAGAACGTGCTCCCAGTATGAGCTGACTGCTCTCCAAGCATGACAAGTGTCACTTTTCCAGAGTGTTTAGAAATGTTCGAAAACCAGCATTTACACTCACCATAGAACAATTCTTTTCACAAACCGATCATTTCGCTACGAACATTCCCTTAAAGGCAGTTGGCACGATAGAGACGATCAACCCCCTTGCAGGACGGAATTCCGCGATCCTGAGAAGGCGCTGCGTATCGCCTTTTCCAAGGAAGGTACACCTATAAGGCCTATCGTACTACAAAATACCGACCTGTACGCTCACCTCGCCCGCCCCCCACGAATGGACGACCTGATGCTCGTATTGATTTATTTGCAAAGTAAAATATGAAGCGAAGGGATTGGTATGAAGCGGCCGCGGTGCTGCATGGATATATGAGGGAATACGTGACGTAGCGGTTATTGGCAAGATGCCTACGGGAAACTCGTCCGAAGTTGCTTTTTGAATCATTGAGAAGGGAGGCTTTTCCTTCCATTTCACTTTGTGGAATTGGAATGAAATTTGGCCTCTGTAGTAACTTGCTTTGCTAGCTGATACAGTTGAGGGTTCCATCCTGTGATGTCAAGTATCCCAAAGGGGTGGGACGTCTGGTTGGGTAGGGGGAAGAGCTAAATTGTGGGGTAATCGGCTCAGGCTGCCAGCACACCATATCCACCCGTTTCTTCCATTCGTTTAGGGCTTTCCACCAAGCTGACTATAAGTAATGCAGTGATAAGTGGCCCTGACCTAAAGGCTAACTGTTCACTCATATCCGAGGACGGTCCTTTAAATGTGTAAGGTAAATGGGTCCGCAGCTGCGGTAACCTGCCTCTTTCTCCGCTCAGAAGTGCACGGAATTGGGCTGGAGGGTTGTGTTACCCTGGTGCTGGCTCCACACTCTACTCGTGCTGTACTCATGGTATTGCTGAGTCGATATTAAGGTCTTGCAGCGAAAAACGCCCTCGAACCGAAAAACGCTTTAGAGAACCAAGAGAAGTGAGAGTGCGCAGAGAATTAGCCAGTTGGTCTATCCATGATGACCCGTGAGCATTATGGGGATACTGAAGCTCGGACGTTCGATGAATGCGCTAGTAAATCATTCTTTATGCAAGGGGAATTCCACGAGCTTCGTTGCCACGTGAGCCTTTTTGTGGTAGCGTTACGTTGTTCGGGTTGCTTGGTTGCCAATGAACAGGCCGTTCGTCTCGACTGCATCGTTTATTGGAGAAGGAGAGGGGTTCAGAACAAACCTAGTGATAGTCACGACCTTCTGCAGCAGCGGTAGTATCTCTCAGGTGGATTTGAAATACTCATTCTATTTAGCCAGCCAGTACATTCGGTAAGAATGTATGAAGGCTAAGGGATCGCTTTGTGTGCCTACCTGCCCTCTTACGCGTGCACTGAAATATGCATTTGCATTATCACCCGTTTGAGGCGGAGGTGGTGTAGTGGCAAGTGGCACGCTTACTACGCGCACGGTCCGAGGATCAAACCTCAGATCGGCTTCAACCCAGGTCAGCCAAGCCCAATACCCTCCGGAGACGGTAAACTGGTACCCCAAAAAACCTCACATACCCCCCGGGAGTGGTACAGCTGCGGTACCTGTGGCTATTTTATTCTGCATACATGAGAACAACACTGGCCTTGTACACGGTGCGGGGTGCGGAAAACGCAAAGGTCTTTCTATAGGCCAAAGGGGATTGATCAGCGGAGAAGACTTCATCCTTTTATCCTTCTAGTCAGATCAACCATCACTCGTATCCCATCTAGATTTTGAGAAGGCAAATAAAAAAATAAGACGTGCAGAATGCGTATAGAGTTGACTTGCTAGGCACTTGCCATTTCCTCTGCACTTGCTGTTTCCTGTCATGCCAACCTAGAAAGAAGACCGCATAAACTAATAATTTAGTAACTTGAGAGTTCAGATCATTACTATATGTATAACAACTAATGTTCCATACTAAATATATAACAACTAATGTTCCATGAGCTCGAAATGCAATCGACGAACAAGGAGAACGAAGGCGGATCAATGGTTTCAAAGGAGCAAGTGAAACAATTAGAAATGCCTGACTACCTTGACGTCGACGAAGAGTTCGAAGTATTTTTGAGTTTGAATTGAGAAAGATTCTCAGCTATTCTGAAAGCATTGAGCCCAATAGTTTGACCGTGCTTCTTCACAGGAGCTTCCACCAATCACTGACAGTAGTGAAGAAGAGTATGAAGATCACGAAGGAAGCTACGAGTCCAGTCAAAAAGTAACGTCAGAAAGTCACGACAATGATCGGCCGCCGGTGAGATCGTTGTCAAAAGCGACACTCCTGCACGCTTCTGTGACGACGCATGGTGTTCGTGTGAGAG